AACCATTTACACATCTGTTCAGCACCATGCTTTTACTGACACTGTAAGTCATCTGTACAACACCATGCTTCTATTGACACTGTAAGTCATCTGTACAACACCATGCTTCTACTGACACTGTAAGTCATCTGTACAACACCATGCTCCGACTGACACTGTAAGTCATCTGTACAACACCATGCTTCTACTGACACTGTAAGTCATCTGTTCAGCACCATGGTTCTACTGACACTGTAAGTCATCTGTTCAGCACCATGGTTCTACTGACACTGTAAGTCATCTGTACAACACCATGCTTCTATTGACACTGTAAGTCATCTGTACAACACCACGCTTCTATTGACACTGTAAGTCATCTGTACAACACCACGCTTCTATTGACACTGTAAGTCATCTGTACAACACCACGTTTCTACTGACACTGTAAGTCATCTGTTCAGCACCATGGTTCTACTGACACTGTAAGTCATCTGTACAACACCATGCTTCTACTGACACTGTAAGTCATCTGTACAACACCATGCTCCGACTGACACTGTAAGTCATCTGTACAACACCACGTTTCTACTGACACTGCAAGTCATCTGTTCAGCACCATGGTTCTACTGACACTGTAAGTCATCTGTTCAGCACCATGGTTCTACTGACACTGTAAGTCATCTGTTCAGCACCATGGTTCTACTGACACTGTAAGTCATCTGTACAACACCATGCTTCTACTGACACTGTAAGTCATCTGTACAACACCATGCTCCGACTGACACTGTAAGTCATCTGTACAACACCACGTTTCTACTGACACTGCAAGTCATCTGTTCAGCACCATGGTTCTACTGACAGAAGATACTAATCATTCTTAGAAATATGAACATACATATCCTATAAGTCACACGGCTGGAAAAGGTCGAGAAAAGTCTGTTGAAGTGTGGTGATTTGCAAATGCATATTCTACCTCAAACTTACATTTTCTGAGAGGGTTGAGTTACTGAACACCAACATGAAGTTCTAATAATCTATAAGAGAATACAAGGCACGAGATTTGTGCGTTTGAAGAAACAGAGAAAAAATAAAAGGCTACTCCACGACCGGCTACCATTGTATATTGGAGGCAGCGAAGAAAGTGAACAGCTTGTCATTGAAAGTACCACAACAACGTAATGGTTTATCGCAATTAAAGTAAGAATTAAATTGAGAACGTGAACGAGATAATTTAGCGGACAATAAGAGACAAACAGAGTTTGTCCACAAACTTCTCCCGAAGTATACAGCTGAACCAGTTGTACGAACGGCACCTGTTGTCAAATTCGTTGAAGCATTCTGAAGCGTCTGCAAAAAATTCATGCAAATTTTTTGCCATCCGAAAATATTAAATAACATTCCACCAATATTGTTTTCCATGTGATTAACCGTGGCTGCAGGTTACACTTATTATAAGTAAATACAAATTCGCGGACGTCAAGTCAAATACCATCTTTATATTATCTAGTAAGACACAAGTACAAACAGGATTTCTTGCTTTTTCATTTGCAGTTGTATCGTATGGACGGACTTCTGTAGCCTGAGGTTGCTCAAACTGGCTCTAGAAAGCCATTGTCTCCGAATGCTTTCTGGAGTTAAGAGTTAAAGAAGGGGACTACGATGCCCCGAGTGAATTACAGAAAGGTGTCCAACTGTAGACATTGCATCATCAAGCAACAGTCCAGAATTAGGAATTCCACACTGTTAGTGGAAGAAAAGGCTAAAAGGCCTAGACACTACTCAGTTGTTGTTGTTAGCGCAAAACTACAATGGGATATCTGGGCTCAGTTCCCACGGGAACAGAGCCCCGAATTTTAGCGTTGTGAGTCGGTAAACTGACCGTTGACCCACCCGGGGGTCACTTGCCTATGTATAGTAATATTAATCGTCAAGTCCTCTCTCTATACGTCTAGATGCACTCTCTGTTGTTTTTTTCCAACTGGTTAAATTCCGAAGTTTGATAAATACTACAATTTTCCGGGTTAAAAGAAATGTTCAAACTAGTACTATATTAGTTTTGTTGCAATTAAGGAAGTTAGTTCCTGTCTATATTTTCACGTCCGCCAATTTGTGAAATAGATATTTTCGTACTACTAACAGAAAGAAACATAACTTGAGTTTTTCAGATTTTAGACTAGCTTTGAAATCAAAAACAGGTCATCATCCGATAAAAACATCAATAAACAAATACGCCGACAGGCACCTTTAGAATGATTTTATTTTATCTCTTTAAAGAAGTCAAATCACATGATCAACGTACAGTACTTGAAAGAAAGTATTACAAATACACGTGAATACAAAAGTGTGCAGCACTGCTTTCTGCAGTATTTCTATACAGAGTCTTATGTGATTATCTGCATTAACTCTCTTCATTCTTATAGTTTTAGGCTTAACATTACAAATGTCGCGATAATCTGTATTACCGCTCTTCCTTTTCATACTTTTAGGCTTAACATTAAAAATATTGTGATAATCAGCATTATCGCTCTTCCTTCTTATAGATTTAGGCTTAAAATTACAAACGTCGCGATAATCTGCATTATCACTTTTCCTTCTTATAGTTTTAGGCTTAACATTATAAATGTTGTATATGAACACCTTTTTAAAGTCTCACACACTTACTCGGTGGTTTGCGAGAAAATGCTTTCTGATATCACGAATTATTTTAAAATACCTGTTGTAGTTCCTACACGAACAATATGGTGGATTTTGCTATTATACATCAACAGATTTTCGTTAACTTCAGTCACTTGAACTACCTTCGCTACTTTGATCGAAATGAAATAACTTTATATTCAAAGATAAATATGCGCATTTTCTAGCAACAATAATACAAAAGACAGAAAATAGAGCGGTTACTTACTAAACACAATCATATAAAGATACATTAGTACACGTAAAAAACAGACAATTAATTGCACTAAACGCTCACTTTTCTTTCGACAACTTCGTAATAAAACATTCTCATACCTCAGGAAGAACATAACTTTATATATATATAACCGGTAGATCTACACCTAACCCTTAAATCTACGAGGATCAAGTAAGGCTCTTCTGTAGGGATGTTAACCAGTGGTCAAAATTAGGTAAACACAATATTATATCCTACTGTGTCATCTGTTTGAGTATCAGAAACTTGGGTTGTACATTTTAGAAGAGAGAAAACTATTTTTTGTGTTCTCATGATGACTGCTGATTATAATTGACTGTTATTATTTGAAAAGTAACGATAACTTAACTTAAAAAAAAGTATATTTTCCAACGTTTCGTTCTTTTCCAGGAATAACTATTTACAGAAGTACCACGTTAATTCGAATCTTCTAGCTGTTACACCGCGTGACAGAACAGCTGAGACAGGTTTAGTGTCATGGCTGTTACATAAAGCAGCTGGTAGTTGCTACACTACCATGCGAGTGAATAGCTAATCCTTCTTCCAGTGTGGTGGGTCTGATCATACAACTGAAAACATCTTAGTACAAATTAGTTTGACTGAATCAACCGCTTCAGAAATAAAAAAAAAATGGTTATCTGCTCTTGCTTCTCAGGACTTAAAGAAAAGGAATACAAGGGATTTCTTCACTACTTAACTTGCCTGCTCCTAGGTGCCGCCACCTTGTTTGTTACCAAACTATTGAATGTTTTCCTCACTCCTCAAGCTAGGAGCTAACTATAAAACACGTTTGTTTACTGGTATGACCCATTTTCGAAAACTTTATTAACCCCAGGAACTCAGCAAGAACTTTCTCGCGTGCGGGGCGGAGGAGAATATTAATATCCTCCGAACACCCCAGTTTATGAAAGTTTTCTTTCCTTTAAAAACTAAATCCCGCCACGGTTTTTTTTGTTTTTGTCTTGGTAAGCTCAGAATTGCACAATGGGCTATCTGTGCTGTGTACAGCACAAGAATCGAACTCCGAATAACATTAAAATGTGATATATATTACTACTTGGCCTACTTAGCTAGTACCTGGGAAGTACGGAGCTCCTCTATAGTGGTTTTACTCAGAACTAGCCCTTCTTAAGCCGAAGTTTTCGATAAATAAACATTTTTTATCTGTAGCCTAACTCCTCTTCACCCTTATACTTCGGTAACAACTACGTTACCATACAAAATAATGCTAGATTCGTGTTGATGCATAAATTATTTTTTACAGACCACTGGTGGGTGGATGGACTATTATTGGAGGATAAAAGGTTTGGAAAACAAACAAATTTTTAATTTGTTGGCATACACCTCATCGCTTGATTGCTTCGGCGTAACGTTAGGCTTAACCAGAAATCAAGCTTAACCATAAATACACATTTAACGTTAGGCTTAACCATAAATACAAATTAAGACAACCTAGAGGTTTCAGCAGCTGACAACAGACTAACAGTGAAGTATGACAACCCAGAAGCTACAGAACTATGAATTAAGAAAACAAAACAGTACGCCAATGATAGGAAAATACAAACTTAAAATTTGTAATAAAAAATAATTACCGTAGGAACTGAAAAATGTACAGATTAAAGAAGAGGCTTAAACAGTTACAGACTACAGTACAGTGTAAAAAAAAAACACACACAGGGGAAGAAAAAATCTTTGTATAAAATAAATTGTAGTTTGTATCAGACATGTAACTTAGTAACATGTAACATCTAAAAAATATATAAATCCACTTGTTGAAGAACAAGTTTTAAACTTTTCAGAAAATGAGTATTGAACTAAAGTAGGGTTAAAATGACCTGATAAACACTAAAATTTAAGTTGTAAGCCTCATATTTTCTTGTAGTTAACTTCACGTTAAAATATAATTAATAACTACTGATATAAGATAACGTACAACTGATATATTCTTGATTTTAATCTCACATATTCTACAAACATTCCATTCTGATTTAACTATTTAAAAAACTCCTGGAAAATCAAAAACTACATTGTTTATTTCTTTATCTATTCCTGAACTTTTGTTCTAATTAAATGTTTAAAAACAAAATCCTAAACAGTTCAAAATTATAAGAATATTTTTATAACAAAGAAAACTGAATGAAATGCTAAATATTTTGAAATTATTTACCATTGTCAGTCCACTACATTAGCATCACTACAGTGTTTGGGGCTGGATTGGCAACACCTAACACTTCACAACTACATAAGTGTACATAACCAAGTTTTTACCATTTCCGTAAAAAATTACACGTTCTTGCTGTAAATAAGTATGAAAACCTCCAATGCTTAAGTAACTGATGTATTTAATTAACTGACGGTCCCTGACTCTAGGTCCTGATGTTTAACAAAGATGGTGTTTCCATAAGAAAGTGTTCAAAAACAAGATAGTATCTTAAAGATATTTCCCATAATGCTTCAAATAAACAACACTTTGTGTCTGTCTCTTCGTTAATCTAAGTATTATGAATACAAAATACATGCAATAAACTTCTATTATTTTACAACACTTGAAATTCCAAGATTACCATAAACAGTTTTAAGCATATTGGTTTGTTTTATCGATCTTTAGTCTTCATAATCAAATACATCTTATGAAGAGGGAAGACATAAGAGTGAAGATTACACAGATAAATTCACTAACTTCTGTAAAAATGGAATAATTAAATTTTACAAAAACCTCCTTGCCCACCTACAAAAAAAAATAATATTAAATGGGAAACGTGTTGAATTACACAGAACAAGATAGTGTCAAAAAATTCTTTAGTAACCATTTGAAATAAAAAACATATTGCCTAAATTTTGTACTGGAGCAACATAAATTTTATTTAGTATAGAGGAAACATTAGGTTTTAGTCAAGTCACTCAAATATCCAAAACATTTTAACAGGTTAAAATATCGGTAATACATCTTCGCACAACCACTAGAGTAAGTATTACTGTTCAACACGATTTATTGGACCTTTACAGTATAAATTCCACATATGCTACGTTCTGACCACAAGGTCAATAAATTGTCTTTAAACATGTAACCATTATTAGTTGAAATACATTTACAATTTTGAAAGAAGAGCATGAGAATACAGTTTATGTATCTGTGTTCTCCATTTTTTTTTTATCATCATGAGGTTTACTTAAAAACTATCAAATGACATTTTTTTTTTACAGAACATGTACATAAAATTATTACAGATCAATTTAATCACCTGACATAATAGAACACAAATTAAATCACAGATACTCACTAAAAAAGCAAACATATTACATTAAAAACAACTTAATAAAACTATGGCAGTACTTATAATTGTGCATATACAATTTTCTGAACATTCTAGTTACCCGGATGGATCTTACTATTGTAATTTATAATGCCTGGCTTGTCATCGAAAAAAAATACATCAAGCTTCTATTGTACATTATACTAAATTTTTCCTTTTTATTTTGTACACATCTTTATAAAGTAACTCGAAGGAGTAACATAAAAATAATAACTTAGGTTCTGGCATCTTTACACGTTTTAATGCGAGGCATCCTAACCGATCAGAGGAGATTTTAACAAATAATAATAATACGTCATCCTACTTATTTTCTACTACAAGTTATAATCCGTACTTTTGTGTAGATCAAACAACAACAATAATCGAGTCAAAGACAGGTGATTAAACAATATAAAAGCAAAAAATTATACTTGAGCAATTATTATCATGATGGATGCATTCAATCACAGTGATCCACAAATTATTTCAAAGTCAAGTTATTTTGAGGCTCTCTGGGCCCCATCCAGAAATCCCATGGGATGAGACAGAAAGACAAAAAAAAAAAAGGGGGCTGGGGATAAAACGATTTCTGGGGTTGGGGGGGTATATTGGTCTTTAAGGAACTTCCCGTTTCTAAGAAACGTTAATAGGACGAACGGCACTTACCTCAGCTCTTAATAAGCTAAAAAAAACCAACATGAACTTGAAATGTCTTCTTTTTTAACGATAAAATTAATTGGCAGCTTTAAGTGTACGTCTTTATTCATCCCGTTCTACAATTCCCAATCATTCACCATATTCTCAATATAACAAAACTAACTCTAATAACTGCACGTTTGTTTGCGTAAAGACCTTCACAACATATTTCTATGTGTCAATTTACATTTCAAAGATCGAAACGTAGATAACAGCCTCCTCGTATGTTGTTCGAGACGCAAGTTTCTCTAGTAAACAGACAGGTAAACATATTGCTAGTTCCATACCCAAATCTCTATCAGGATGTATTATAACTTTCGCGGTTTGCATATAAAACTTGTTTTACAAAGCCGTTTAAATTTTTTTTTTATTAATAAATGAGTGTTTTCTTTCTGAAAATATACTTATAATGGAATCATAGAAATTTTATTTTTTAATTTATTTTCTTCCATCAATAGATGTCATTTGTTCCACACACCTACAACTACACATTGCAAAGTCTCTCTCTCTCTCTATTTTGTTTTAGTTATAACAGCAAACACTTGCTTATTAATTTTTTATTTAACTAATTGATTTTTTTTTAATAATGGAATTATACATTACTATACATATATATATATATATATGGTCATGTTTACTTTATGTGGATGGCCCCTTGTTAAGCCTGCCAAGGTTTTTTATCAACTCCCTCGTGCTCCTTGATGTGCTTATGAATACAGCGGCTTCCAAAGACGCAGCCCGTTGTTCTCCAGAAATAGCATTCACCATCTTGTACGGGTCCCGTCACTTTCCTTTTGGTGTCTGGCTTGCTCCTGGGGGTTAGGTTTTTACATCATTCATCTTAGAAACACAGTCAAACTTGTAGCTCCCACAACATACTCTTACAGGACTTATCTAACAATATAGCAAGTTTACTCTGTTCTTGTTACGAGACAAACGGAAAACTTCTGAAACAAAAACACTATAATGGACTTTCTGACATTTCACTTCATTAAGTTTAACACTTCGACAGATGGTGACTGGTATATCAAGCATGCAACTCAAGACACTCCCCACCAACCACTACTGCCCTGTGCAGCTCAAGACAGTCTCTACCAACCATTTCTGCCCTATGCAGCTCAAGGCAGTCTCCACCAACTATTTCTGCCCTATGCAGCTCAAGACACTTCCCACCAACTATTTCTGCCCTATGCAGTTCAAGACACCCCCCACCAACTATTTCTGTCCTATGCAGTTCAAGACACTCCCCACCAACTATTTCTGCCCTATGCAGCTCAAGACACTCCCCACCAACCATTTCTGTCCTATGCAGTTCAAGACACCTCCCACCAACTATTTCTGCCCTATGCAGTTCAAGACACTTCCCACCAACTATTTCTGCCCTATGCAGCTAGTGAAAAGATGTATACTTTCTGCAACAAAGAGAACAATTAGACATGACTGAAAAATCTTACATGCCCACTAACATTAGGTTTTGGTCATGATGGATATTTCTGTTGCTGTCTATCAAAGGGTGAAACAGGGGTAAAAAAATTTCATCCTGATTTGTGAAGTGGTAAAGTAAAGAATAAGTAATATCAAATAACTCTCTTATATTCATCACAAAATTCATAATGACATTTGTGTGAGAACACAAAATAACTAAACAGTTATCTGATGTCCACGCACACAAAAAAAGTATTTTGTCAAAAAAAAAAGAATCATTTTTTGTATTTGGTGTATTTCTTCATATTTTTACCATAGGTGACCACTACATACAGCTAGTGTTTTTTACATAGTAGGTATAGACAGACAATTTTACCCCCGTAACATTTGTTCTGAACATCGCACAAAGCTACACGAGGGCCATCTGTGTTCGCCATCTCTAACTTAGCAGTGATAGACTAGAAGGAAGGCAGCTGGTTAACGCCACCCTCACTAACCAACTCATGGGCTACTCTTTTACCGATGAATAGTGGGATAGACTGTCACATTCTAATGCCCCCGTGGCCAAAAGGGCAAGCACGTTCAGTGACGGGGATTCGAACCCGCAACCCTCAGATTGCGAGTTAAGCACCTTAACCACTCGTACCGTATTAGTCCTTGGGAAGTTTGTGTTACAACCGTTAGTGGCTTGCCATCAGCTACAGAGATGTTGAAGAGTAGCGTGTAGTGTAGATTAGAGCCGAAGCTAAGACAATATCACAAAAAAAAAGACCTCTTGAACTGTGTTTAGATAAGGTGAACTTAAACAGAAAACAGCCAGCCATGCATCAACAACGACTGTTCTCCAGATGCGTATGTTTTCAATCAATTTTTCAAATAATAATAATATTTCTTCCAAATTTTCTTTAATTGAGAGAAAATTTTATACTTGCGCAAACAATACAGTTTCCAAGTCATTAATAAACTAATTTTTAAGTCATTATCTCAAAAAAAGCATATGGCATGCCTATTTTGATAAGGACAATTAATTCTCAAGTGTTTGAGTTTTGAAAATTATTAAATGCACATAAAACCAATAAAGATAGAAAAATTAAGTTTTACTTAAGTTGGTAATAATGAAACAAAAATAACAGTCTTTCACCGTGTGGACAAAACAAAGTGGCGACCAAAAAACTGACCTCTTAATCTTGATAAGTGTAAAAATATACTTCTTATTCATTAA